ATTCTGAGTGACAATTAAATAGGCAAATTTTTTTCTGTTACATCTTAACAAATGAGAGTGTGATATCCATAGTAATGAATGTACTGCACATAGTAATGAAAGTGGTTCTGAGGAGGTACTTTTTAATTTGGCATGTTGAATAAAGTAATACATTTTGTATGTAATGGCTTGTTTGCAGTGACATTCATTAAAAAAATAGGGATGGATGCCTCCTGAAGGATGCTGTTTACTCTCTGACAAAGTCCACATCAGATAAATTCTGTTGCTCTTTCCTCCCCATGAGATACCATGGAGTTTGTAACCAAATTGCATAATAAAGTAGATGAGGAAGTCCATGGATTGCTGCTGTTGTCCAATAAATGCCTTTGGCAGCTGGGGAGTCTTGGAGAAGCATGAAAATCAGAGGAAATTGTGACCAGGTCATCATTACTTTTAAGGAATTTATTAAACAAACTACAGTCTTAAACATCTTTTTCTCTGTTTAAATAGCTGGATTTATCTGACATTACATTGCACTGTTTATCACATAGTGGTGCTCAGAGACAATTATGTGTGCAGCACTATTAATATGAGCAATTTATGAGCTTGCAAAACAAATTATTGTCATCAGGTCATTGTGTCAAGCTGGCCCAATTTAGTTGTAATATAAGGAGGTAGAATTTCTTAAGAGAGAAATATATGAGGTAATATATTAAGTACATTAACTTACTTCAACAAACCATCTAATTTCTATGCACTATGTCTGTGAATAGTGTATGTTTGATTTGCTGAATGGGGAGACAATTTTTTTGCATTTTTATGCAGATAAAACTGTAGTTTGTAAATGAGCAAGAGAAATATCTTGGCTCTTTCGTTGAAGGAGGACTTTGATTGGAGGAAGTGAGAAAGCTTCAAGAAGATTTCCAGATTTTGATTGACAAGGCAAAGGTGATGTTCTCTTTCCTTCTACACCCACCCAAATCCAGACTAAAAAACTCAGTACAACAGAACACTATTTAAAAAAATAGATGCACAAAAATATGGTTTGGGGTTTTTTTTCTCTTTCTCCCCTAACATCAAAATTACAAGAAAGGAGTGCAACCAGTGCCAGATGGTTGTTCATTAAATATGGAAGAAAAAGATCAAATCTTTAGCAAATACTTGATTAATACCTGAGTAACATAATCATTCTGACAGAGAGGAGGAAGGCTGAGCTGAAAAAACCTGTCAATTTGTAGGAGTGACTGTGTGGTACTTAATTGCTCTTTTTTTTTTTTTTTTTTTTTTTTATTTTTTTTTTTTTTTTTTTTTTTTTTTTTTTTTTTTTTTTTTTTTTTTTTTTTTTTTTTTTTTTTTTGTAATAATTAATTGCATTTTTTGTAGTGAAAAGCATTACTTTACTTAATTCTCATGTAAAATATTTGCTATGATGTTCATGTTATGCTCTGTAAAATCTACTATTTTTTTCCAATCATTAGCATTACTTTACCTGTCCAATTATGCCTTTCATAATAAAATAACTTCATTAGATCTTTGTATATGTAGCTGATGTAAAATCTCATCCACACAGATCAGATTCTAAGACCGCAAATGTCATGGACTTTTCAAACTTTTCATGATAGCTTGGCAAGTCAGAAATTTTCTGTAGAAAGTAGCAGAGTTCTGAGCTTCACAATAAACACTCTTAGGAAAGAGATAAACAATATTACTTATTTACTTGTATATTTAGGCCTAATTTGGTCTCAGGGCTATTGCCCTTGTTCTCAGAGTTGTGTGTTATGTCATGGCTTATTGCAGTATATGTTCCCTGATGTCGTGTTTATCACCTTTGGTGCTGGGCTGAGGTCATAATTTTGTTGTTCTTTGTATTAATAGCTTGTGAGGCGATAGAACCACTGGTCATGAGCCTAATCCTGACTGCCTTCTTGGCACTGCAACACCTCTGGACCTCGGAAGCCATCTGGTGGGAACTATTAACAATCACACCTATATTATCCCACGTTGCTTCTTTTGGATAATTACAGTGGCATTTGGAAACTTTAAAAAATTTGAATACTCTTGGGATGTTGAAACCAGCATGGTCCAATTGCTAGGAGGTGTGAAAGTGATTCAGGTCTTGTTTAGAGGTGGGGTTTTCATTTTATCTTTTGTTTTGTCTTGATTTTTACTGTATTTTTTTTCTTTTTACTTTATTTCAATTAATAAACTGTTCTTATCTCAACTCATGGGTTTTGCAATTTTCTTTTCCATCCTCTGGGGAGTAGGGAGTGAGTGAGCAGCCACATGGGAGTTAGTTGCCATCTGGATTTAAACCACGACACAAGTTTAGACAGACTGCTGAAGCTGGATAGTTTTTCATGTAGAAATGCCTGGATAAAGATGTAAGGTCTTCTAAACAGGTAAATACTGAAAGCCTAGACTCCAGGTCAGGTCTCTCCAGAGGAGAAAGAGAATATTTCCCTGAATATTTGCCGTGTATTTGCTGAGGGTGCACTTGTTGCCATAATGTCATTGATTGAGACAGTCCTTGTCTCAATATGGACCCCTGAGGGACACCACTTCTCACTGATCTCCATTCACCTCTTGACCAATACTTTCTGGATACAGCTGTTCAGACAATTCCTTATGCACCAAACATCCACACATCAAATCCATCTCTCTACAACTAAAAGAGAAGGGTTTTGTCAGGGACCATGTCAAAGGCCTTACAGAAGTCCTGACAAATGACAGCTACAGCCCTTCCCTTTTCCACTGATGGAGTCACTGCATCATGACTGAAGTCCACTAGGTTGGTCAGGCAGGACTTGCCCTTGGAGAAGCTGTGCTAGTTGTCCCAAATCAGCTCCCTGTTTTCCACATGCCTTAGCACAGCTCCTAGGAGGATCTGTTCCAGGATCTTCCCAGGCATAAAAGTGAGGCTGACAGCCAGTAGCTCCCACGGTTGTTTTCGCTACCCTTCTTAAAGATGGGTACAATGTTTCCCCTTTTCTAGTCACCTGGGACTTCACCTGACTGACTTGAATTTTCAAGTATCATGACGAGTAGCTTGTCAACTGCATCAGCCAATTCCCTCAGGAGTCTGGCATTCATCTCATCAGGTTCTATGGATTTTTGGACATTCAGGATCCTTAGGTGGTCACAAGCCCAATCTTTTACAGTGGGAGGAATTTTGCTCCCCCAGTCTCTGCCTTGAGAGGTGTGGGGAGAGAGATTTGTCAGTGGGGACCGAGGTAAAACAATTGGACCTCAGCCTTCTCCTAGTTTGTTATTATCAGTTTCCCAGTTGTGTTTATCAGAGGAGTACACTTTCTTTGACCTCTCTTTTTTTGGCTGAAATACCTATAGAAGCTTTTATTACTGTTCTTTCCCTTGCCAGGTTCATATCCAGCCAAGCCTTGGTCTTTCTGACCCCATCCCTACGCAACCAGGCAACATTCCTATTGCTGTATTTTAATAAAAATCTGGGACAATAGTAGAATGCTTTATCTTGGAACTTTTGTACCACTAGGTCCAAATATACCAGGTAAGCAGATAAAGAGGTCCAAATGTCCTGGACTGGGAAATAAAGAGGCCCAGATGTACTAGGTAAATAGATAAAAACATAATGACTAGCTTATTCCATTTTGAAAGGCAATAAAACTAAACCGACAAAAGTTTCAATCAATTTGTACATTTTTCTTGTCATACAGGGATCAGTTATATGTGGCCATTTTCAGCATTTATTAATTTGCACAAAATACTGTAATACCTATATCATTATCATCTGATACACATGGAGTTGAAAAACAAAGGAAAATACTTAATATCTTGTCAAGTTCTATCTATTTCACCTTGCATGTTTTCTACCACTCATCTATTTAAAGGCAAAATTAAAACAATACAAACCAAAAGCCTGCAAAAATAAAAAAACTTCCTCAGAATGACACAATCTAATGAAGATGTCCTTTCCCTGTAATTTAAAGCAAATTTAGGATTTTTCTTCTGCTTTCAATAAAATATTTAAATATTCCATAAGGAGTTTACTTGAAAAGGAATCTTTGAAGTGTGCTGTGATTTTTTCACAGCAAAACAGATGTGGAATTATCTGGAAAAGCAGGATCAGTGCAGCTTGAAGGAAGTCTCCATCCCACTGGCTGCCTAGCAAAACATGAGAGGTAAAGGAGGTGTCCATCATCACTTCCCCTGGGAGGAAGTGCCAGATTGAAAGAAGCATCATCTCTACTCTTGTGATAATGGGTGACAGAGATTTTTCTCCTATCCTGGATAGATTTTGAATGTTTTCCCATTCAGTATCACAATGGAGCTATCATTTCTTAAATAACAGGAAAGAAAAGACCACCTGTTTCTCAAAGCAAGAGCACTAAGGATACTTGCCTGGGAAGTTATGAGAGAATTTTAACAGTGCTCTGTTTGGTTCAGCTTGTCTTGTCATCAACCTTCAGTCTCCTACCTCAAGCAAGTGTCCTGGTCACAAGGCTCTGAGCTCTTCCAGGGTCTTTTGTCTTTTTGACTGCAGCAACTGTATCAGCTTGCTTTACATGAAGGGCAAAAGGGAGAGGTATTGTTGTAGTTCAATGACTGTAGTGCCTCAGTCTTTCCTTATGGCTGTAGTTTTTAGAAGCTCAATGGTAACTCTGGGAAATCATCCCCATTGAAGTCAGCATGTGAATCCCCAGCACAGAATTTTTCATGGAAAAAAAGTGGAATACAGATCATGTTATTTGTTTAAGTGGAACTCCTAGTGCTTTTTTGTATGACGTAAAAAAAATACAGCAATATCTGTATGTTCATGTGCTGCACTGATCTTACTGTTCATGCTGGGTAGCAGTCTATATTTACTTGAGTTATCTTAGATATAAATATGAAGGATTAAAAGCTCTCTGACTAAAGATCTCACAGATGATTACTGCAGACTCACAGTGTAGCTCTAAAATGGAAAGCAGCATGTGACTCTTCACTCTGGCTTCCCAGGCTCCCGCTAGCAGCAAACAGCAGTTGCAGATAAAAATAGAAGGTTGTAAGCAACCAGGATCTTTAGTTAAACATAGAAGTCACTCTCCGTGACAGTAAGGAGTGCAGGACAACAATGAAGTCTCTCCGATTCATTAGCGCCGAAGCATTAGTGTCAAATGCAGAGTTTGCCAGGAAGAATCTCGGTGTTGTTGCCCATGATCTTTTTCCGCTTCTTTTTAAAGCCAGCTATTTACTGGAGCAAGGGGAAGTGATTCACGACTTGGTAGAGAACTGGCCACTTTTTGATTTTAACATGGGAAAACTATTGGGAGCTACTCTGGACTACGAGGAAGACCTGAGCTATAGAACATGCTCCGTGTGCTTGGAAAGCTGTCTGACAGGGCTGAGAGACTATGTGCTGAATCAGTCTTCTCCCTACATGAAAAAGTTGAAAGTAGTCGACCTGACGGGTATAAAAGATGTTGAAATTCAGTTTTGTAAGTGCAAGAAGACAATGGGTAGATGGGCCAGGACACAGCTGCTCTCTGAGCTTTGTTCAGCCCTCCCGGTTTACCTGCAACAAGCACAGTGCAATCCACATACCTTTGACGTCAGTATCAATGTACTAATCGACTTGTTTGTTACAGAGAGGAACTATGAGCTGGTCGTGCAGGCCCTGTTGAAGAAATGCAGTTGTCCGCTGAAAATCTGCTGTGTGGCATTCAGATCTGACAACCTGACCTTGCAGAAATTCTTCTATATCATAAAGCTCACTGATCCCTCCTGGTTGCGCAAACTGGAAATAGTTCATAATGTTCACTTGGAAATGGAACACTTAGAAATGCTCTTCAACAGTATCCACTTCCCTCTGTTGATGTCCTTGACGTTGCCAGCACGAACATTTAATGTGCAGAGGTTCACAGCTACGGATGAACAGATGCTTACTAACATTGGAGAAAAGATGGGTGAGATGACACAGCTCACTGAGCTGAATATATCATTTTCTATACTCACTGGAAGAATACAGAAACTTCTCAGGTAATGTGGTCATCCTGCTTTCAGTCACACTATAAGAAAGAGCACTTTGTGCCACCAGCAAGCTGAGAGTAAGGGAAGTGAGTAAAGTAAGCTAAGGGTGTGCATGGGAAGGGGCAGCAGGAAGCCAGGAAAGATTATGTGTTGGGGAGAATTGGCAGCCAATGTATACCTAATACACTTTGAAAAACTGACAATTTTGATTAGTTTTTCAGAGTCCATATGGTAAGAATATACTTTCAGCTACCACAGAAGAGCCTGGTATACCCAGACATTTTTTATTTGAACTTATGTGTTAATCAGCTTGCATTGGCCTTTGGTGCAAGTCCTGAATTGCATTTGAAGTATATTTATAGTATCTAGTGAATTTTTGTCCTCTAAATAACAGTCAGTATATACACTTTTCCACTGATACTGTATTTTAAGGAGGGCAGGGGAATAGTTGATTTTCATTTGAGATTTTGATTTCAGTTATTTGTTGTGTCTCTTGGTGTCAAGACAAGAGAGATTTGATGGTTTTTTGTACTACAAATTAAGCTGATATGTGCATATTCATTATGAGTTCTAGTGGAAAATTGACAATTTGCAAAAAGCTAGCAAACTATCAGTGAGCAGTACTCATATTAGAATGGGAAATAAGTTAATTGTAAAATTTTCAGAGCATCTAAAAAAAAATAGGCATATAAAAGTTTCAACCATAAAAATGACCTTGGTCTAAAATTATTCCCATACAAGAAGTCATTTTATTTAAAATTTGTGAGTAACATACTGCATATATTGATTTATACAATTGAAATTAATTGCAAGTTTCTAAGCTTGATCCACCTGAGCCCTGTGGCAGAAGTCTCACTAAGATGTAATAAGTATGAAAGCAATCTCTTTATTTTCATTTGTCAGAACTATTTTATATTTAACGTGAATATCTGAGTATAATCTCAGTTACACTTCTTCCAACCTTCTTCATCAGAATGTCTCTTTGTAACTCCAGAGCACTACAATGTGTAAATGTCTTGGGCATAAAAAAATGTACAGAAAAAAAAACAGCTAGAAACAAAAGCAGATATCCTGTTAGAATGTTGATTTCATATTGGAATTAATCCTTCCTTAATGGAAATTATCTAAATCTCTGGAATAATTGCAGCTTTCTACAAGAAACAGTTACCAATGCTCTTATGGTAGTAGTGATCTGCTGTTAAAGTCAGCAAGTGACAGACACTTTACAATATATAATTGGGTAAAAACCAGATACATAGAATGTTAATAAATTAATCCCCATTAAAATAGCACAGTGGAGTCATGCAAAGAAGGAGATAATGGAACAAATTTCATGAGGAAAATATACTTGCTATTTTTGGCACATGCTTCTGTTTTCAAGAGAGGTTTGAAAAAATAATGTGGTAAATAGCAGCATTCATAATGTGGCTAGACACATGAAATTTTGTAAATGTAGTTTCCAACATTTTGCATCATAATTTTTTTTTTCTCTTTAATTCTGCAGCCCACTAAAAACTCCACTGAAGATGCTGGATGTTTCTAACTGCTCCTTGAACCATGCTGATATGGCCTTTTTAGCCAGTAGCTTCCATGCCAATCACTTGGAAGCCCTGGACCTGAGTGGCCACAATATAACTGAGCTTTACCCATCAACATTCTTTAAGCTCCTCAGCCACTGTTCTTCAGTGCTCAGGAGTCTTACCCTGGAGGAGTGTAATATCCAAGACACTCATGTCAACATGTTGATTTTAGGTTTAAGCCCATGTCAGAAACTGCAGGAGTTTAAGTTTATTGGAAATCCACTATCATCCCAAGCACTTAAAGACCTTTTCACATTTCTCTGTGAATTGCCAATGCTGAAAAACGTGGAGTTCCCAGTTCCAAGGGATTGCTACCCTACTGGCATCACCTACCCCATTGATGATGCCAGTGTTTGCAGATTTGATCACCAAAAATATGAAAGGGTAGCAGAGGAGCTTAACCTCATTTTAGTCCAAGCAAATAGAGAGGATGTGAAGGCTTCAACACCACTCTTTGGGAGTTACGATGCAGCTGTTCAGGAGACAAACAATGAACTGGGAGCTTACTTGATCAAGTCCTTCAAAGAGACTTTAGAGAAGTTCACTTCTTCATTTAACAAAATTAGTTAAATTTATAAAATTGTAAAGTAGTGAGATAATCTTCTAAATCAGAACTTAAATTAGTCTTTTCTAGATCTGCACCTTCAATCACCAGTTGTGAATTTTCTTTAATTTTTCAGCTGAATTTACTAGTATTTGAATAGCCTCTAATCACCTGAGTTACTGTAACTTATGCTATATCTATTGCATACACTTTACACAAGCACTACTTGCTCACAAAAGATGAGAGGACACTTAATAGTGCATTATTTTATATAAATGCACTTTTTCTCAGTAAATCAAATAGGTGTGTAAGCTTGGCTGATTTCTTATACAGGTTCCCTTAGATTTGTCAGCTGGTCTTGTAGTCCCACAGAAAAAACACAGAAGTCCTTTCCTAAGTCCAGCAGGATGGTCAAAAGATTGTGCACATATCCTCACATATGGCTCCCTAAACTGATTTTGGTTTTTTTTTGCTCATGACCTGAATTTACCAATCTGTGTTTTATGTAGTATATTCCAAATAATGGAAGAAGTATAACAGCCTCCATATCCCTGTACCTCTTTCTTCTGCAGAGGCAAGTGCAATAAACAGAATTTGTCTTATATACTGCCCTTGGTGAGGAGTAAAATTCCATACTGAGGAGGTAGCAAATCAAATGGTTGGCTGACAGCAGGGAATCTCATCTCACTTAACCAGCAATATTAAGCAATCTGTGGGGAGTCTGCTGATGTTCTTTCAATATGTATTTTAGGAAGGTGGGCCAGTGTGTATTTTAGAAGGTGCTGCACAGCCGTGTCAGCTGGTCAGAGCCTCAAGATACTCCCTTCCTGGAATCAGCTTCTTGGCTGGCAGAATGTACTCTGCTCCTTTCAGTTGTTTCAAAGAAAGTCGAGGACTGTGGTAGTACTGAAAAAAATATTCATTTGAAAAGACATGCAAAAAAAAAAATCCAATGCCAATTTAAAAAATGTGGAAAAGGGGCATGGCTGATTGCTGACTAACTAGAAGTTCATCTGTGTGAAACACTGGTGGCTTTCTGTCAGGACTGTGTGTTCTCTACAGACTTGCCACCAGTATCAGGAAAAAAACCACATTTATTTGTCTAGCTTTAGTGCAAGTATTAGAATGACAGAGTAAACAGTGTCCCAGAGTCCACACACGCAGCATTGGAGCATAGGTAAAGGAGCCAACTGGATGTCAGGACAGTAAGACCACAAGACACACATCTGGGGAGAGTACTGTAATTGGGGCCTGAGTGGTAAACAAGTGCTACTCAGCTTCCCACCTGTAAAACTAGAGACTTGGTTAGCTTCTAGGTAATTTAATAAATAAATATAATAGTATTTTAAAAATATATAATAAATACACTTTAACAGTTAATGAAAATTTGATCAAACAGGACTGAAAATGAATACTTGTAGCATGAGCTGAAGGTGTTATTGCAGTATTGAGGATCATCATTATGATAACCAGGACAGTTTATTTGAAATAATACTGGGACTCATCATCTGAGAGTGAGGAAAAACTTTCTTCATTTAGGCAGTGCTGATTTGTCAAGCTTTCTGTTTATCTACAGTAGGAATATGCAAGAAACTCTTAAACTAATTTATTTTTAAAAACACCAAAACAAAACAAAAATTAATGGACTGGGTACTAAGCAGAATTTACATGTTCCACAGCATGCATTTAAATTATTTTTTTGATGTCACCTTACATGATGGTAAAATTGATAGTGAATGGTCATGACCTGTTTATGTTTACAGACCACTTGAAAAATACAAAGGTAATCCAAGTTGCTAAGCTAGGGAGTTGAGAATACTAAATCACAGAATTGGGTCCCATTCTTTCCCAAAGCTGTTTTATCTTTGTGGCTTCATCTTCTCTCAAACTCCCATAACTTTGAGAGGTGTAAATGCTAGCTGAGATGATTAGTCTTACAAGATCAATAGAAAGTAGATGGATCTGTAATTTGCTAGATGTCCCCCGCTGTTCTGTCATTACATGCATTTGGAAAAAGTTCCTTTCTAGATTTCTTGTAGACCCCCTTTAGATATTTGAAGAGTGCTGTAGGTTCTCCTCAGTGCCTTCTCTTCTCCAAGCTGAATGAACCCAACCCTCTAAGCCTACCTACATAGGAGAGGTGTTCCAGACCTCTGATCACCCTCATGGCCTCCTCTGGATTTGTTCCAATGGGTTCAAATCTTTCATGTCTTGGGATTCCCAGACCATGATAATTCAGTTTAGGCAACCCACTTGAGTCTGTTCCTTTCTTATTTTCTTATGGTGATGTTTTTCATGTGGAGTACTCCAGTATCCAAAGAGGTTTATGGAAATCACAGTTTATGCAAACTTAATAATCTGCATTGTAAATTCTACTGCTGGAACTGAGCAATTACATTTCACAATTCTGAGCATCATCTAACTGAAGCCTTTTGGTTGAATGCCTGCCTACCTCTGTTAGTTTAATGCAACTGCACCACAGAATGCTAATGCTGAAAAGAAAAAGTATGTTAAAAACAACAAACAAGTCAGCATGAATTCATAAAGTGAAACGACATTTCAACCCAATACATCATTTAATAAATGTAATAGTTTTAATTACCACAGAGTATATAAATAGAACTTAAATTAGAAAAATGTATTAAAAGTGATATGCTAGAAATGATAAATGATAAATCATAGGGGAACCTATAAACCAATTGCCAAACTCAGAGAGAAATGTCCATGAATTAAGAAATTCTTGTGATGGCTGAAACTCATAAATACAAACCAGGATACTTCCTTAAATAAAAAAATAAAAGGGTATTTTTCCTGTCGTGATACATATTGGCTGATTCTTACAACCCTACTATTTATTATGTGCAATAGTCCCATTATTTTCAAATTTTTTCAGAGCACTACTTGCATACCAATAAAGTAGTCTGCTTCTTCCATTACAAAGTTCTACTGGATCTTGATTAGTAATTACTACATTGTAGTGATAATTCTGTGATTTTTTTTCCTACTGATACTATTTTTTTCAGCCTTCTGACTTCAGAATTCCAAAATCAAGGTATGAAATACCTTGAGGTATATGCTCACGGGACAAGACAATTTTTATATTTTCTTTTGGCATCCCCTACTGGTGTACAGCTGTGAAGACTCCTCCATGACACTGAAGATTTCAAAACAGCTCCTATGCTTCTTTGGCTAAATCCTTTTGAATGTTAATAACAGCTAAAGAAATGGCAGGTTAATGACAAAATATTTCTATTCTCTTCAAGCAACATAATTCCATTGCTTCAGTGAATATACCGTCTACTTAAACAGTACATCTAAGTACACTACTTTGCTTGTTTCACGTCATTTATTTTGATACTGGTTTAAGTTTTGCAGTTTTCTAAATTGTAATAATGGAGAAAGAAATGTCAAATTTGTCATTCAAATTAACCTCAATAAATATCCTTTGTGATAATGCAGTGAGGCAATGCATAATTTTCCATCACTTTGTAAGTTATGTGAAGATGATGAAAAATCTGCACAAAAATTCCAACTAAATTCCTTGAGGACCGGACAGAATTTTTTCCCATTATTATTATTACTTCTAAAAACTTACTTCTTACTTCTTCTTACTTCTTCCAAAAAGAGTGAAAAATTATTAGTGACATTAACATCTTTCTATTTATTGTAGCTGCAGCATTTCCTGATGTAGAAACCTTCAATCTCACTTTAGGCACCTGGCATATCTGGGAACATGTTCAAACCATGTTCCCTAGAAGAATCAAAGGAGACAAACTAGCATTTCAGATTAACAAAAGAGGAATTCTCTGTTGGCTATAGAAGGATTGGGCAGTTGCACTGGTTTTTAGGACACCAAGCATACACTGTTTTCTCACCATTATTAAGCATGCTCATGTGAATTTTGTCAAGAAAGGATTTTCAGAAATGGACAACCCCTGTCTGGTCTACAGACCAGACACACAGGGTGTACACATGAATGGGAGCTGAAGGATCTTTCTGTGGATACTTCCTAAGACCAGAAAATAAATAATTTTTAATAGAAATCAAATATACTACTGAAAGCTGATGTTGATCAATGACACTGTCCAAATGACAAATGATTTCTAATTGCAGATTTTGCTCATTCTTTGAATGTTCATTAATCTCTAGTGAGTATAAGATGGGAGTATGCATTGCTAAATATTAATACTTCCCATTAATCTTAAAATGTAATTATGATTTTCAGTTAGATGGAATAATGTTACCATCTGTGTCCTATCAGATTATCTATTGGACAGAACTAGTCTTTTCCTTTTTTGATAGACTCCTTTGACTCTTCACCCACACATATCTTTATATTTTCTTTTTTTTAATCAAAACGTGTGATTTCTTCAAAGATAAAGTTCACTGATATTTAAATAGACATAAAAATCCCTATTATCTAACCTTCCCCCCGATTGTTTGGTGTTTTTTTAACTATAGGTTGTTAGTATTCTTCTAGATTTAATGACTAGAATATGCCTTTTTTGTAGATGGGATTTATGAAGCATAAACAGCTCAGTGACTTGCTAAATAGGTAATACCTGCTTGGAGAAGAGAGTACAGGAGTCTTTGTTCCCAAGTGCACATTTTCATTTTATGCAATCTATTTTCTTCCAGGTATAGGCTATAAAGTAAGAGAATTTAATTTCATATATAACAAATATGTTGCTGTTGAGGCAGGACGGGAATGAGAAGACTCTGACTCAGAAGGCTGCTGAGTATAAAACTCCGATTTATTCAAAATACACCACTCTTTTATACAGAGCTCTGCAAGGATCAAATCTATTGTTCTAAAGTAAAAACAACGCACACCATTGGTGTAGAGTGCTTGACGCACAGTGATAGAACTTAACTATAAACAATGTGAAAAACAAGAGAGATAAAGAATTATTTACATTCTTTCCCAGCTCTTTCCCAGGCTTTTGCCTGACTAGAAACTCTCAGTTTCTGTCTTTGACTGAATCTGAGACCCACACGAACATATTTGCCATGCACCTTAACTTTCAAAACAAAAGTCTTGAAAGTGTCCCTCATATTGAAGTCAAGGATAATGCTGACACCAATGACGTTAGTAAACATCCGCAAGACACTGAGGCTATTTCTGTGTGCATAAGTAGCATAGGGACAGGAAGAAGGTTTGCCACTATTCATGCTGAATTGCCAGCACCACCTACAACATTGCTTTCTGTATGCCCGCTCTTCCCCAGGAAGCATCTAGGCTTGGACAGCACATACCCCCAGGCAGTTTAGAAGAACAAACCCTGTATGGTGATGAGAGAGTTTAAGCAAGAGTACAAAATAAGGCTTTGCCACCTAAGCCTGAGATCAAAGAAGTGTCCACTGCAGAAAATAACATGTAACTGCATCAAAATTTGTTGCAGTGCTTTGCAACTGGGTTCATCATGTCCAAGGAGGGTGCAGCTGCCGGTGCTGCGCACAGGAGCATGGGAAAAAAATTTATTTCTTTAAAACTGCTGTACCTTTAACCATGAATCAATGTGTCTGTCTATAGAGTTATCTTACTTCCACAGTTCTTAGAGCGCACAGAAATTAATTTCTTTGCATTTCAGAGGGTCAAACATTTCACTCCATCTGTAGGACAAACTGTACTGCCAGGTACAGAGCAGTATCTACCCTGGACCACAAAACTTGTTTCTTTTGAAATTTTTATTGAAATTAGATGCATGCCTTCTTGATATTTAGAATGTTCTGTATGAGTCATGAACTAATATGCTATCAACTGTTACTTCATTTCAGACATAGTGAAGGAGAAAATGAAGTTTCTACTTTTCATCTTAAAGTGCATCTGACTTGGTTGCCATGCTGTTTCAATGATTTTGTCTATGCCATTAGGTTGAACATTTTTGTCCCTGTGAAATGACACCTTGTAGATTGAGATTTACAAGTCAGAAAGGGAATAAGAAGAAAAAGTTTATTCAAAGATTATTCATGCATTTTCTCCTTACCTTTGTGTGTACCCACATGAGGTCCAAGAATATTTTTAGGCAGTTCAAAGAGAAATGCATCTCTCTCTCTCTCTCTCTCTCTCTCTCTCCCCCGCCCTCTCTCTCTCTCTCTCTTTTTTTTTTTTTTAATATCACTTTTCTTCTTGTACTTCATAGGATAGGTGTATTACTGATGATAAGGTAAGGCATTGACTTGTGGGTGTTCTAACAGAACTGTGCCTCTGAACAGCAGGGAACAAATCCACTTCTAAATTGGAAACAGCAGTTTGAGCTGAAGCTCCATGGATAAACAAAGGCCAGAAGGTCCTAGTTGGAGGACTGACCAATGCCTGTCCTTGACCGCACTTCTCTGTCTGATTTATATCAACTGTGCTATAACGAACCCCGAGCACTTGTTTTATAGCTGTGAAAGATTTCCAGTTCTGGTTTTGGCATCATCAGAACAACTGCAGTTCTTGACATAGATAGACTATGTTGGGACCTGATGCACAGAGAGGGTAGATATATTTTTAAAGCCAAATGTTGTATTCCTGTACAAGCATGTGAGTCTTAAATGTTTGTGTGACATTCATGTATACAAGGCTGTTCCAGGAACTGTTTGTTGCCTGACTTACTGAATTTTCCAGCCCAGTCTTCCCTTCAGATTTATAGAAGAAACTACATATGGGTGGGAAATTGCATATAGGAAAATACATTAATTTAAGTATAGTCTTTATCCTGATAAGGAAGTGTTTAATAAAGTTTAACTTAGTAACCTCCACTATGAGAGATTAATAGCCTCTACATACTAATACCAAACTGCTATGCCTTACAATTCCTGTTGCTATAATTTTAAGCCTAGTATCCTAAGGAAAACAGACTATCTTTTTCCTAGGGCAATTTCTGTATGCATATCCCATTAACTTTTTAGACATAGCTGAACTTGATAAGTAGCTTAACAGAATGGTAGACATCTCAAAGGTCATATGCCACAACCTCCTCCCCTCCTGTCATGTGGTTATAACCCAGCATGGTCTTTTTGTGCACATGCAGAGTTCCAGGCTTTTCTGATGTGAAGTGACTCTAGTGAATGTCTTGTAATGGGAAGGACCAGCTGAGTTTTCAGGAAAACAACACTGAAAATGGTTTGGAGGCCAGCTGGCCTATTCTACCAGCCTGTGATCTGCACTTGAAATGCACTTTGGACAAAGAAATGTGGTTCTGGAACAGATAAATTGTCCTGATGCCTGTGCATATCCTGTGCATCTGAAGTTCCTCACCCTGTTATTAAGTCAAGAGTATCACATTATGTATTTTATTCCCAGTGAGAAAATAGGAGAGCAGCTTCCTTACTCTTGGCAGTCAGAGAGTGTGATGAGTGGGGCTAAAAGTCTTTTGCTGAAACTTTGTTTTCAATTCTTTAAATTGTGTAAGCAAGAAACATTAAAAAGGCACCCAAAGGCAATGCCTGTACAGTTTAATCCACTTTTAAAGGACTATCTGATGGCAACAAAATTAACTAGTATGTTTTACTGTGATGTTTTCCTTAAACATATGGTAAAACATCCTCCAGATCCAATCCAACCAGGAACAGATTTAGTTTGATTTTGAGACCACAAAAACTGCAAATAAGAATTCAGGAATATTTTGAAGTGAAAAAAATTGCATATCTTGGAAAGGAGGGAGTGTGGATCAAGTACTCACTGTTTTTCTCTGATGAGAAACTGTGGGCTGTCACATACTTAAGCCTGCTTTTCTCTCTAATGTCATCAAGCGGAAATTTTGCTCCTTGCAGTACAGTGTTGTAAGTTGAAACCTCTGAATACACTGCACAAACTCAGCCAGATGAAAAGACTGGAAGTATACTGAGGGACAAAATTTAACTTCTGCAAGAAGCATTAGAAACTGGCAGTGATTTTTGTCATGAACAGGTCCAATGACAAACCAGGTATGTTGGGCACAACTCCAAGAAAATGCAAAACCCACAACCGAATATTAAGCTAAAAAGACAGGGGAATGGGGCAAGGGGGAAGAAGAAAGAAAAAGAAACACAATTTAGAGGAAAGTACATACTTTTCCCCTCCCATGTAAAATACAGGAAGTATTTTCAAGTGTTTTGTTTTTGTCATTACCATTTTGATACAAGTAGTTCATGCTTGCAATTAACACGGTTGACGCTGTCAGTGTAATTTCCATTGCAGGAGGTACTGCATTCCCATATCTCTGTTGGCTTGCAGAGCCTCAGTCAATACCAAGGAAGGGGGAATGCAATACTCTGAGCATGGAGATGGGTGATTTTGAGGCTGAAGATCACACCCACCTTCTCTTACCATGTACTGGTCTGTAATAACTTTGCTGTAGGTCTATAAAACCTGTGGACAAGAGGATTAAATGACAGAGAAGTGATAGCTCTGGTAAGCCAGACTACTACGCAGTGTCTAATTTTAGTAATTATCTAATCAGTGTGTAACTGAAAGTATTGCCAAATGCCAGCTAAACCCTAAAACCATGCACTGTTAGGATAAAAAGATGGTCATCTTTTTGTCACTAGTTACAAGCCATGGGGATAAGAATCTAGGATGTCAGTTTTTGAACTGTAGTTCAGTTCAAGAGTGAAATCAGAAATAACTTTGAGTGCCAAATGTAGTCCAAGTCTGTAGATGTAGTACTTGCAAGTACTTAGTACTTGCAATTAGTTAATTGAATTCAAAAACTGACGGGTGCAATGTTTCCTTTCTAGCACACCTGCATGGAGGAAGATGTTATCACAGTTCAGGCATAAATGAAGCAGCAGAAAATTATAAATGTAATGTCAGTTGCTTTCCTTCTTCAGTTGCTATAGACAAGCATCTGAAGTAAGGTAGAGTGGCATCTTTCTATACTGTCATTCTCTGTATTTTAATTTCCTAAGACTGTTTCCATAGTACTATAATTCAAAGTATAAATACAGAAATAATGGCATTCTCATGATGTCTGAGTAACAGCTGTTTAATCACTTGCCCCTTGATAATGCAGAAGCAGACTTACACATCATATTAGGCTATTAACTGTTACTATATTTACCACATTAGGCTATCAACAAGAATTTGTAGATAATTTATGTACTTACAGATTTGCAGCTGTTATTCTTCACATTTTCCCCAGTTCTCCTTTTTAAAAAGGTTTTGGCACAGGACACTTTACTTTTATACTTTTCCTATACTTTTAAGTGATCCCCTCTGAATCCTTCCCAAATTTTGACATGGATGTTGTTCAAGAAAGCAAAGAAATGGTCAATGAACAAATCAGAAAGAAACAATTATCCTGTTAAATTATATTTAATGGAAAACCTTTTTTAAAAATCAATGTTAAATACCAAACCTTTTCTCATTTCAGTTCTTAAAAACAGTTTAGCTGCAGCCCAAATAACATATTGTTCTCAGGCATTGTGTGGGTAATGGAACACATCCAGCCTCCAGATCACCATCCTGTTATTCAGACACTAGAATCCATGATTAGTTGTGAAACACAAATATAGGCAACTTTCTGCTTATGTTTTTGTGGCATTTGCAAGGCACTGACTGCTATGTATTATTCTATTACATTTTGCCATAGACACAAGATTGCTGCAGAGCTGATTCATAGGTATGTAAAACAGTTTATTATTTGGCATGTTGTTGACTTATTGCACTGACTTTTTATTGACATTATGAGTCAAAATCAGACTCTTTGCTCATTCTGCAGTGGTCTGGACTTGGGTCTAATTCAAGCTGCACATGAAGGCTATGGTCAATAGCCTTCTGGACAGTGGAGCCTTTTCTACAAGTATTCAAGTCTGAATGAAAATGGAAATAATTTTGGCTTTCAAGATTTTATTTGTTTTAATGACAGTTTACATTACTGAACAAAAGACTGTGTGCAACCATAACTCAGTTGAAGTCTGTGAATCAGTCCTAGGCAAATAATAACAAGGGGAAATTTGACACAAACTGGCCCAAATTCATGCAAGCATTTGGACCAGTTAGCACAATTTATACTTTCTTTCTTTCTTTCTTTCTTTCTTTCTTTCTTTCTTTCTTTCTTTCTTTCTTTCTTTCTTCCTTTCTTCCTTTCTTCCTTTCTTCCTTTCTTCCTTTCTTCCTTTCTTCCTTTCTTCCTTTCTTCCTTTCTTTCTTTCTTTCTTTCTTTCTTTCTTTCTTCCTTTCTTTCTTTCTTTCTTTCTTTCTTTCTTTCTTTTTCTTTCTTTCTTTCTCTCTTTCTTTCTTTTCTTTCTTTTCTTTCTTTTCTTTCTTTTCTTTCTTTTCTTTCTTTTTCTTTCCTTCTTTCTTTTCCAGGAAACCTTCTTGGCTTCATTAAGGTATTTTTCAAGGTTTTCAGTCTTTGAAGCAGAAAGTTTTCATTGTCATCCTGAAACCTTCCAAGCATGGTATGCTCATCTGAGCAATACTGATAGAGGAGTGAGGTGTTTTTGGAGCCTGTTATTAATAGAAATGTACCAACAAGGTAATTCATGAGAATTTATTTTTATTTGAGGCTTGGAAAAAAATATATACAGTAGGGAAAAATAATCCTTAGATGAATCATTCTGATTTAGTGAAATAGTTCTCATTCAACTTACCAAAATGCATATTAAGTGGATTAAATAGCAGACCAATTAAGTGCAAAATAATGGAGCATCCCTGACATTCACCTGCTAGGTCATTTCTACATTTAACAAACAGTAAATGATCCAGCTGTTTTGCCACATGTGCTGCAATATTTAACAACAGAAATAGAGAGATGGCCATAAAGAGATGTGGTAAAGATATGGTAGGTTCCTATTTAAGTGTGTAATTTGTGATCATTTCAAGAGAGGCTGGTTTTAAATTTAATATAGATAGTAAATAGGTATGCCGTGGCAGATTCAGGCTTAAAATCCTCTACTTTTAAGAATATAAGTGAAATGTGAGAACATATAGTTCTTAAAACTGCATTTTGCTCTGTCCACTCTAAATTAGGAATAAGAAAATGTATATGAGACTGCTAAAAAAGAAGTCAGATTGTGTTACCTGATTTTACTGAATGGTAAAATGAACTTAGGATACACTTTGGTTCTTGGGACAATATAGCCTTTTTCTCATCTGCATCAAGATGCTGTTACATTATTTTTAACTTGATGGCAATTTTATTGCTGAATTGACAGCTTGAAAAAATTTATCCTCTAAGAAAGTTGTCTCTAGTTTGCCATAAGCAAGAGTGAAGTTTGTTTAGGAAACCATCTTAAATGTTGTTCATTGCTGATTTTGTTTGGTCTTAGAGATCTTTGTTGTGCTTCAGGTCTTGGTTTCAGGACAGTGTGACAATTAAAGCAGTCATAGATCCTCTCCTTTTGAGTTCTTTGCATGTTGATGCAGCTCCTCAAGTCTTGTCCAGAGGCAGACAGCCACATAATTTGCTAGGTAAGCAAAAAGATAACCTTAAAGGTTGTCCTGGTTTTGCATTGCAGCCATTCACAGAAGTAAAATTCTAGGATAAGCTGCTGGCAGTTTCCTCCATATCTGACAAAAAACCAATCAGTAATCAGCTTTGAGAATTGACAATCTGTTAAACCACTGAAAAAGCTGGACACGTCTCTATGAATACATGTTAAAGACCAAAAAAGTCCCAGGAAGCCCTCTTTTCCTTCCGGCCTTGATAATAATAAGCAGGTAGATCAGGCTGCAAAGACAGAGATGTCAGAGATAGACTTTGATTGGCCAACACTGAACCCACCACATTAATTGGTGTGTTCAGTGTTCAGGGAAATCTCAAATTAGCAAACCAAAATCACTACAAAGGTGCTTTCTAAATCTCTTGTCATCTTCTCATATTTTTGAAAAGGGATTTGAATGTGAGGAAAGAAAGAGGACTGGAGGCAATGAGTAGGTGTAAACTTTGTATAGTTTATTTCAATACCATAGTTTTTGAACAGGACAGGATGGTATGTCAAAGCCAGGGCAGATAAAATCCTCATACAGCAAACTTCCTAATTTGTTGTTACTTTCTGTACAAATAAACCAGTACTTTATAATGCACCAACACTACTCAAATTGATGAACTGTGAAATCCTGTAGTGTAGAGGCAGCAGTGTTTTGGAATTATCACATTTGCAAATGGATATCGGTAAGTGCTGCAAAAGAAAAAACAACACAGAGAAAATGGAGGATGTGACTAATGCATGGTTATCCCAATATTCTGCAGAGCAGGGTAGACTGTGACTTCTGTGTCCTGAGGGACTGTTTATTAAGGATAAAGTGCATGAATTTCTTAAATTATGTTTTCATGTGTCTTAGATTACATGGCTTTGCATGCTCAAAGCAGCATAATTCCTTGGGGAATGTCCACCCAAGGAGATCCAGTGTGGATGTGCAGAGCCCTGAGGTGTCCTGGGATTTGTGGAGCAGTAGGGTTGCAAGGTAGCAGCAGCATTTCTTTCCTGCAGCATGATGCAGAGGCTGAATGCTGTAATTTCAGAAACATAATACCAAATAATAGATTTTTGCAGGTAGCAAATCTGTCTCAAGCAGTATTCTGCTCACAGTTTGTAGGAGAGTAGATTACAGGACATTAGGAATGAGGCTGTGGCTGAGCCTCATCCCTAATGGGGTGCAACTGTGTAAGACAGGTGAACAGCATTGCAGGAAAAGAAGCATGGAATGCTGAGGTGCATTGACCAATCACAAAAGAGTAAAAGGGCATACAGGTGTTATGCACGTGAGAAGCAGGGTATAAAAGGTTGTACTGGGGGATTCTGAAGTGCTAATGCTTGAAACTATTCTCAGTATCAGTCATGTGTCCTCCATCAATTGCACTTTCAGGCAATAATGGGGCAAAAGAACAAATCTTCATAACCATACATGCTCAGTGGGTTTTCCTTATGGCAATGAAAGGATGCATCTTAGTATTTTTAAGGTTTTCTATTTGTGAGGTTTTCCATCCAACCTGTAATTTTAGTCATGCTAAAGGATCTTTTTAACTTCTCGGGGAATGTAAAGGCATTTACCTGGGCACATATTGCACACCTTGGGACATAGTGCTTGGTGCAAGAGTGAAAGACCTGTGATGTAAATGAGCATCAGACTGGCAGATTCACAGATGAGGGATATTCTGGAGTTGAATATAAGACTGGACTGCTCTAAAATTTAGAGCGCATGTTTAAAAATGAAAGTAATGAGTACAGTGTAAAACAATTGGAATTATAAAAATGAAGGATCTTGCCCAACTGGCTTACCAGTAACAGAGTGTTGGAGTCAGGTTTTAAAGATAATTTGGGCAGAGGCATTTTGTCTTGGTTTGGAAAGACAGGTGTCTGCTAAGGAAGACAGGACCCTCCCCTGAAATGTAAAAAATGTAAACCCCTTCCCTCTGAATTGTTATAAATTAAGGGAGGCTCTCAGAAAAAAATATGGGAGCAGGAATAACAGTTCTTTATTAGGGAAGAAAATAAAAAGATAAAATAAACAGTGCAGTGAACCAAAACAACACTGACAGAGTCAGAGTACAACCTGACACCCTGCTAGTCAGGGTGTTTGCAGTCCAATTGGGAATTATGGCTGAAGTCCTCCTGGAGTGTCAGGTGTGGTTCTGTTGGAGCAGTGATCCTGCAAAAAAGGGGTGTAGCCTTCCTGCAGAGGAAGAGGCAGTAGTTCCTCTGGGAAAATCCAGTGCAGCAAAAGCTGTGCTGGTGTTCGAGAAACTCAAGATTATATGTAGGTAGAAATGCTTGACTCCTCCTTCTGGGCAGAGCATCTCACTGTGGGATGTTACAGTTCTTATCAGTCATGCAGTGACATTCAATAGCCCATTATCAGCAGGTGTCTCCCCAGAGAGAGGATTGGTTGTGGAAGAGATAAGGAAAACTACTCAACAGAAGAAAGCTGCTACACAGATGGTAATAGAATAAATCTTGCTTCTCAATCTGAGACACATTTCTAATAAAGGTTTAAATGAGACCATATGCCAAAGTCAATAGTACAGATTTTGAGTAGGTGTTATACTTGTTTTCTTATGTTCAGATATGTTTCCTCAGCTATGAAATAAATAACTGATCATTTAAAAGGAAGACATGCATATGTGTTTTATAATTTGAGATGTGTAGTTACAGGACAGGAAGTTCCCTACTGCTGGGTAGCAGTATACTGACAAAATACAGCATATATTTCCAATAGTAGTTCTGCTAACTTTATGACTAGCAAACTTCCTTTCACCAATTACAATCTTGGATTCAGAAGGGAAAGAAAAAGCTGTCAGTGCAAAGTGAAGTATTTTTAATGTAAAATAATGTGCAAATGTTTTTCCTTTGTTGGCAGGGCTACAAAAACATGCAAGTGTACTTCAAGAGTTCTGTTGGCATTTACTACTTTCCTGATAATTTATTCTGGAAAAACAAACAAAAAACAGTTAAGCCAAAACATCTTCTAAGAAGATCCTATAATAGACAAATAGACTTATCTTTGTCAAGTGTGTATAAGTACTTTGTCAAGTGTGTATAAGAAGAAAGGACTGTTAAATACCCATCTCAATAGAAGAGTCCTCTAAGCTGCAGATATTTTTAAACAGTTAATATAAGTGGCAGTTCTTGTTTTTGAAGAGACTGTTCCAATTTCAGAACAAAAGTCCTCTTTTCTTCTTTCTGACACAGTAAATTCACTGTATCATGTAAGTCTTACTCTTATGTTTGTCTGTGCTTTGGATAGACAATGCAGCATTCATCTTGGATGCACAAAATGAGGCTCACGTGTCATACCTCATTAGCACTGGTATTATCTCACAAATTCCATACTCTGTATGTGCAGGTACCATGGGAATCATATGGATAGCTAGGGTTTGACTGTTGATGTTGACAGTGAGACAGTATTCAAAGAAAGCTGTAATGAAAACTTCTCTAATAAATTACTTCACATGGAGATGCATTTCTGAACAAGTGAGTATTGATAAGCAATAGAAGTAATTAGGACAGTATATAACAGAAGCTCCTGTATGTATAGACTTGTTGCACATATGCCTGTTAACAGCTACACATCAGGAAATCTCAGCAGAGCATGAACTAAAGCAGTCTCTTTTTATAATTTTTTTAAACCACAAAAACTTGGTTTTGTTAATTCATCAAGTTTTTGATTACTTTTAGAATTTAGAGTCTCTAAATTGCCTAGGTTTTCAAGCTAAAGAGAGCAAAATTAATCTACAAATATTTACCTTCAACAACCTAGTAACACTATCTACACCACATGTCATGATATCCAATTTAATTATGAAATATCTGTGATTGAGGCTGCATAACATCTCACCTTAAAGACAGTGTTACAAAAACAGGACCAGCTTAGGAATATTGATGATGATACTTAGAACATGTCAATGGTTTTTTGCTAACCGAAGGAAACATACAAGACCATGTTGTGAAATATCATTCATAAAGATATTTCTAAGTGTACAAAGGTGAAATTGTTCTGTACTCTCTAAGCAACCTCAAGTAGTGTCTGTGGGTGTGGTGGGTTCACGCTGGCTGAAGGCCAGGTGCCCATCAAAGCCACTTTAACATTCCCCTCCTCAATAGAGCAGGAGATATAGTTTTTTTTTCTTATATTTTCAATATGACAAAAAATTCATGAGTTGAGATAAGGATAGGGAGAGATAACTCATTGATAGCTGTCATGAACAAAACAGACCCAACCTGAACAAATTAATTTTATTTATTATCATTCAAAATCAGAGCATGAGAATGTGGAGAAAAACAAATCTTAAAACCAGCTTTCCCCCAGTCCTCACTCCTTCCTGGTCTTAACTTTTTTTCCAATTTTCAAAGTCCTCCTCCACCCTACTGCACATGGGGAAAGTTTCGAGCAGCTTCTCAGAGAAGCTACGCCTATAGATCCCTCAGTACAACAGCTTTGCCACATTAATTCAACAGAGTGGATATAGTAAATTTTTAAATATGTGTTAAAAGCAATCTCACCTCATGTAAATGATAGAGAAGTTTATTTAGTTTGCCTAAATGGTGAATACATAATGCAGTTAGTGGTAAACCATAAGTGCAATATTGTTCCTTGGAAAATGCAGAATGAAAATAGCTTTGCTGCTATTTCATTGCAAGTTTTTTTGACCTATGAATGAATCCCTTGAGCCACAAGACAGCTCTAGAGTAATTGGAATTAAGTCTTTTCACTTTTCCCTTAGTCCTGTTTAGAGGTATTTTATATATATATATGTATATATATACACACATCCATATACATAGAAGTATAGTTAAAAATTTTTTTAGTATGCTTCAATCTTGAGTCTGTTACAGATGAGTAATGAGATGGTTGGCTCTCACAATTAAGGGATGAACATTATGTGTATATTAAGAGAAGTTTTGCAGATGTATGGTTATATTACTGTAATATGCCTTCCCTCTTGCATTTTATCATGGGATAGCCTTGGTAGCTGGGGCATTTGGGGAGGGTAGGCTTGTTACTATAGAAACACCTGACCTCCAGTCAAGATGTAAGAAAGTGATCTCCACCACTAGACAGCAAGGAAGGCATCAACTGACAAGACTTTAAGATGAGCTAGAAGTATAAAAGGTATAATCTGTGCTCCCAGCATTGTAATTTTTCCTTACTTAGTCCTTTTGTTGTAGTTTTGTTAAGGTTTAATAAACCCTTAAAATTTTAAAAGTGAGCAGTCATTTCTCACAAGTGTATTAAAAATTTTGATCTAATTTTGGGAGCAAAGCTTGGATCAAACAACATCTGTCTGGCATTATATAACATTAGTTGAAAACAAAACACTTAATATATTTATCCACTATAAGATGTGAGGGTTTAAAATCAGCCACAGAGTACATGAATCAGAATGAGTGAAATTACAATAAATATGTTTTGTGGTAACTTTAGTAATATAAGAGATAGTTGTATCCATTTAGCAGTGCAGCTTTTTTGGCTTTTTTTCTTAAAAAAGTTGCTGTTGCCTTGTAATGACAGGAATCCTAGTTACATAATAGTCCAACATTTTGAAACTTATGGCACAGGTCTGCTAATGCAAATACTTAATTTACAAGCAATACTTGGTGGGAGTGTGTTGGTACATCTGTATGCAGTGGACAGCATTGGCAGCACCCTGACTTCTTTGACAGAGAATTGGGATGTTTATCTTTGTACCTGTTTCATTTGAGACATTTTTAGAGGAAACACATTTCAAAGTGTAGTGCTGTGCTTGCATATACTGGAGAAGTATGTTATAGCTTTTCCTTCCTTTATAAAGAGAAGCAGGTGGTAGTCCAGGGTATAGTGCTATGCATAGGGTAGGTGTGTAAGCAGGGGGTGATACGGCAATGGGCCTTCTGCCTGCATGCTTCACCCCAAAGTGTGGCCCTGTTCACAGGTCTCCAGATGCAAGTGTAGGAATGCAGCATGGAGGCTGCAATGCCTGTTCCCTTGAGCTTCTGATGTACTGCTATGTCGACATCCTTTGCTGCTCTCTCACATCTCTGTAAACTTCATGTCTCTCATGCATCATCTTCCAGACTTCTTCACAGAGGGGAAATCTTCCCCACCTTCTCTTCCCAGAAGGCAGAAGGGGAGTGATTATATTGATGATAGTCACTAAGTGTAGACTTGCCCTGGGAGTCATCATCTCACATGCCTTTGCAACTCTGCATCTGGCATCCCCTACTTCCCTCCTTCCAGGGTCTCACAATTCTCAGCTCAAAAATCTTGTCTGCTTGCAGCTCCAGCTTCTGGCACCTATTTCCAATACTTATCTAGCATCTGTACTTATTAAAAAATTAATTCAGAGAAGACCCCAGTAGCTTAAAAGAGAGAACCAGGAAGAGAAAATGGACCACTGTAGAATTTTTCAGGCCCTTGCTTTTTCATTTGAAAAAGATTGTGACGATAGATGTGTCAGACTCTGAAGAGGAATATTGATGCTATGGAAGAGGTGTTTCAGAAGTAGGAGACAACTGAAGCCTACCTTGACAGCATTTGGAGAGGGCCAAGGGAAAAGATTAGCAAAGGAGTATCTGTTGTATGGTGTATCTGTGTACAGAGACCTCTGTGGCATTGTGTTTAACACAGGGTCACTTACTGTTTTGTTTCCAGTCCTCATGCTTTTAGAGGACTAGGAAACCTAGTACTTTGGCTTACTTTTCACATCTTGATTTCTTGTTTTTTCTTTCATATTGTCTGTATAAAGACAGTGCAGTCTAGGTTTAAACAAGGGCTGTTTTTCTCCTGGAGGTTGATCTTTTTAAACAGAGATGTGGTTTAACTCCAGTCAACTATCAAGCAATACTCAGCTGCTCACTCATGCCCCCACCTGCTGGATCACGGAGATAATTGTAAAGGTAAAAACTAGAAAATGTGGGTTGAGACAAAGATAAATTAATAGGGAAAGCAAAAGCCATGCACATAAGTAAAGAAAAAACAAAAGGATTAGTTCACTGCTTCCCATGGGCAGGCAGACATTCAGCCATTCCAGGAAAGCAGGCATAATGGTGTATAGCAGTTACTTGGAAAGACAAAAGCCATCATTCTAAACATTCCTCCTTCCCTCCAGCTTTATATACTGAGCATGATGTCATATGGTATTCAATATCTGGTATTTGGTCAGTTTGGGTCACCTGTCCTGGCTGTGTCTTCTCCCAAACTGCCATGCACCCACAACTTCACTGCCATCTCTATATTGTCAACATTTTGTTCAGCACCACTATGAAAACAATTAATTTTACTCCATCCAAAACCAACACAAGAGACCAAAAGGATTTTGCTGCAGCTTTTGCATTAACGTTCATGTGTAAAGATTTGAAAATGTGTAACCACACACCAGGCTCCAGGGTTTGACAGGAGCAAAAGGTTTGTTTGAAAATCAAGTTTCCTTTACAGTGCAGGAATCCATTTTGCTTTTGACTATTGTGGGATCTGCAAAGCCAGGAACTTGCCTGGCAGTAAACTGGACCAGATTTCTTCACCCTTACACTGAACACCTTATTTCAGAGGGCCTATTTGTGAAACTAGCAGTACTGTTCACATAGGATGCTCAGAGAATGATCTCTTCTGAGGCTCCTTGAGCTATTGCTTCATTTGTAAAGAAGCACTTTCATTCCCATTTGCTATTTTCTTTGTGGAATTTATTTATTAAACATAAAACAAGGGATGCTTTCTGGAAAACAGATTAACATGGAAAATATTTATCTTCCCATCATCCTTGAGAATCCATTTCTCTTAGTATTATAATTAGTTGTTTTCTCTTTCTGAAGAAATTGTATTGTTATGTATAATGAATATAATTTGCACCAGTATAATATGATGTATGTAATATTTGATATTATTGGGAGGATGCACGAGTCGGCACTGGGAGTTGCCCCATATATTTGAAAACTGGTCTCTGGCAAAACCTCATTTGCAAGCTAATACATGTGGCTAATCTGGAGATGGGTCATTTCTCGAGGTGATACAGGAACACCTAGCAATGATCATCCCCACAACGACCCGAGATTGGGATCACTGGAACCCTCCTGGCTGATCCATCTGAATGCTGTGTTCCAGTAACTACATCAGAGAGATTCATCACCACCCGGACACCGAATTGTTCAAACTCAACACAGAGAAAAGAGACGTTATGAATATGGAGGACTTTGAATGGAAAGGAAAGGCTGATCGCCCTGAAATCCTGGCCTTGAGCAAAATACTCCCTATAAAAACCGCTTGTGGTGTGTGTGCATAATGGGACCCTCTGCTGAGGCTGTCTACTCTGTGACACACCCATCACCGATCCAGGACTCCTTGTGGCCGGCTCAGAGAGAATTCAATCGCTATAATAAAATTTTATTTTATTTTTAATTCATCCGGATCAATTTCTAGCCATAACAGTATTATTATATTTAAGATAAATGCTGACATTATATATCCATTAAATAAAATTTACATAGAATATCTTAATATATACTTGTTTTTACCCAGGAAAAACAGATGTACCTTCTTAAAAAACAGTGCGGTTGCAGATGACTTAATTTATTCCTAAATAGAGTTAAGTAAGTTTTCAACCTAAAGTTTTGTCTAAGTTAATAGCACTTCTCTAAAATATAATATTTTCATGTTAGCAAGAACGAACAGAAGCAGATAAAGAACACTAAGCCCAAATGAAACCATAGGGTTGATTTTCAGGTAGGCATACTGAATTTGGTAAAATTAGAAATATTCCTGCATAACTGGGTTAGTATCTTTCTTATTACTTCTGCATCACTTACTATGCCAATGCAATAGTAACAATAGGTATTTTCTGCCTTTGGGATATCAGTGTTGGAAGAATGGCTGGAGGAATCCTAAGACTTCTGAATCCATTCCTGGGATCACTGTACAAAAAGCATTTTCCTAAATTTATCCTTTTAAACCTGACAAGTCTGAGTTTTAAAAAAATACTTTAAAAAATACCTATCAGATGTGATGCCATCTGATAAATGTAATAGGGATTAAAAAGTTAAATTTTACTCTCTTAGACACATTTTAATGGTATTTCATTATTTGTAACAAGAGAACTTGTCTTAAATTTGTTCATTTGTAATTTCACATGAAACTATACCATAGTCACATATACTGCTTTTTTTTTTTTGCCTTTCTGTGAGTTCATGATGATATAATGCAACACAAATCTGTTTTATCTCAGTGGTATCTTCCCAAGCTAACATGCTCAAGTAAACAATAAACACATGATTGGAAGCACAACATGTTTGCTTGAGGTTCCTCTAGAGTTTACTGAAGCTAAGAGGACATTTGAAAGATGAGCTGATGTTTCTAGCTCTAAATTTTTGTCCTGGCATTATTTGTAGTTCAATATGAAAAACTAAACATGGGCAATAGGTGTTGAACCAGGGCAATTGGGCCAATGGGCGAATGAGGTAACATAACTTTACATAGATTAGCATGTGCCTGCAAAGATCTATGGGAGAAGTAAGCTTCTCACCCTAACCTGAAAGCCTATTCCTCTTATTTGGGACCAGTCCTGCATGGCTGAGGAATTGAGACTGATGATAGGCCCCTAGGATTCCAGAAACTGCAGTGGGAGAGACTGAGGAAAAGATACGTTCAAGGCAGGCATGAACAATCTTTCAAGGTGCTAGACTTCAAGTTCTTCCATGGAGTGAGGAAGTACAATTGGAAAAGAGGCCTTTCACATTGAACAAAATAAGCTGCCCACCCCATTCCCCACAGCAGCAAGTGTGAAGGGTAAGGAGAGAACAGAGGTAATTGCACCCTTTTCTTCTTTGTTTTGCAATCTGCACATTCATTTCAATTACAAATTCCTCCACTTTTTTTACAACTAAGAAAAACTTTTATTACTTTAGACAAGTCATCTTGATCTTCTGTGGAAATATGCTGGTTTTGCATCACAGAAGTGATTTTTTGGGAGAGGCTGCTGACAGTTTCCTCCATGTCTGATAGGAAACCAATCAGTATTTGGTTTTGGGAATTGATAATCTGTTAGACCATTGAAAAGCTCTACGCTTCTATGAAAAACACATGTTAAAGACGAAAGAAACCCAGGAACTCTTTTCTTTTCCCTTCCAGCCTGCAAAGAGGTAACACAGGCAGTCCTGCCCCTGTCTCGGCCAGGCCGGGCCAGGCAGCCACTGCCGCAGGATGCCAGCCGGACCCGCAGCGGGAGAGGAGAAATCATCCGCCCTGGTGTGCTGCCTGCTGGGATCCTAGCTCCTACACCCCCAGCCACAGTCCAGCCGGGGTCACACGACCATCTACAGGCCCCAGGCAATATATTAACTCTTTCAGTGCTTCAATCCTCCCTTGAGTGAGAGAACATGTCAGAAGTGCAGACACGTAAAGAAACAACATAAAAACACTGAGGTCAGTGAAGAAGTCAAGTCCTAGATAGGAGGGATGAGCCTTTAGTTTTAGGCTGAAATCCTCCTGTAAAGATATGGAGAAACACTCTTTTTTCCCTATAACCCATGAAGGTATGGGGAGATGAAAGTGTTCAAATTGTAGATAAGTGTGAAAAGGCCTCCATGGTAAAGTAAGCAGATGTTAAAGTAGCTGTGATCTTATGAGAAGTTCAAACAGAGAAGGAGAGAAGAGTGATGAAGATCCCAGGAAAAGAAAATCTCTGTTCCTAGAGATTATTTCAAAGATTGATAATGAGAACCTTTGCTTTTGAGCAGCTCATCTTTAAAATACTACCCCAAAAGTTGACATGGCCCATAAATACAGCTGTGGGAGAAGCTGTGGAAATGGAAGGGATTTAACTATTGCAGATTTTCCTGGGCAGCTGCTATTCATGGAAATTGAAAGCCACAAGAGAATGCTTTTCTTTTGGAGAAGTTTCCATATCATTAACAAGAGGGACTTCTCTCCCTAAATGAAATGAAGAAAGACTATCCTAGAGGTGGTTAACTGACTGAAATTTCAGGATTTGTCTCTACATTTTCAGTGGGAAAGAAAAGGTTGTAGGGGGAGGAGAAGTGACCTGAAAGTCCTGATTCTTATTACTTTTTCTTTTAATTACTGTTTTTAAATTTTTCTTTATACCCTTTTAAAGTTTTGATCCTGCTTTGAGGCTCCTAATCCTATCTCACAGCAGGAAATGTCTAAGTATATTCTAGTGAGTGCACTTGTGATTGGTCAGCACTGAACCCACCACAGGAGATAAAAGCAAATCAGTGATCTGTCAAAACTATCAGCTAATAATGCTTTCATCTTGAAAGCCATCTTCTTTCTTTAAGTCTTTGTGCTAACTTTGTCCAGATGGTATTATACAGTCATAGAATGTCCTGAGTTGGAAGGGACTCACAATCAAAGTCCAATTCTTGACCTGGACAGGACAGCCCAAAAATCACACCATGTGCTTGAGAGCATTACCTAAAAACTTCTTGAACTCTAGCAGGCATGGTGCTGTGACTGCTTCCCTGGGAAGCTTATTCTAGTGTCCAACCACCCTCTGGGCAAAAATCCTTTTCCTACTATATCACCGAAACCTCCCCAACACAGCTTCATGCCATTCTCTTGGGACTTATCACTGGTAACCAGAGAGAAGAGATCAGTGCTCACCACTGCATTTCAACTCAACTGGCTGGTGATGATGTGTCTGATAGACCCTAGGACACAATTGTCCCTCCTAGCTGCCAGGACACTGCTGGATCATATTAAACTTGATGTCAACCAGGACCCTTTTCAGCACTGCTGGTCTCCATCCCTCCAATCCCGGGTTGTCCTATCCCAAGTGCAGAATCTGGCACTTGTCTTTTTTAAACTTCATACAGTTGATGATTGCTCAGCCCTCTAATTTGTTGAGGTTTCTCTTCAGGACTTCTCTGCCTTGGAGGGAGTAAACAGATTCTCTCAATTCACTATCATCATCAAACTTAGTATCCCTTCAAGTCCTGCATCCAAGTAATTTATGAAGACCTTTAAAAGAACTGGGCCTAAGATAGAGCCCTGTGGAACCCCACTATGACTGGTCACCAGCCTAGTGTAGCTTCATTCATGCTTTGTGCCTGACCCACAAACCAGTTGCTTAAATATGACATTTTTATCCAGCTGTGTGCTGGGCATTTTGTCCAGAAGCATCCTATGAGAGACTGCATCAAAAGCCTTATTGAAATCCAAATTCCCTTGATCAATTAGCTGGATTACTTAGTAGATGCAGAGTGTTCCATATACTCTTAAAAATACAGCTATCACCTACTCTTTCCCCCTTCTAAATATTAATACAGTTAGAGGATATATGCTGCTCATTCCCCCCCAGATTTTAATATCTTGACACAGCATATAAATATAAATATTCCTGATATGAACTGAAACTTGCAAAGAAACAAGAAAAATTTCCTTCATGATCATAGAGGTTCTTTTGCCAGCCTTGGTTTTTGTGAGGCAGAGGTAATTTGCAGCAATATCTGATTACTTCAGGAAATACAGGTCACCATATTTAACAATCTGGAGCTGTAGATGTATTACAGCTTCCATCTGTCACTTTTGATTAATATAAAGCACTGAAATGGAATGAAAATAAAGAGCAATATAATCAAAGACATCTGAGCTATGGGAAGTATTGGGAGCTGTTACCATCCGCTATGATTACTGTGCACATGTCAAGATGATTTTAGCACTGTTTCCTAAGCAGAATGGTTTGGGGTTATGTTGATATGTGGTACTAAATTAGCATATTACTCCAAACATCTAAATCTTCTACCTCAAGTACACTGAAATGCTCAAGACTGTTTTTGAGCAACTATGAATCAACTAAGGGAGCTGAAGAGTGGCAGAAGAGAGGCAGAGGGCATTTAATTCCAGGACCATTACTGTACTGGAATAGAAATTAGACATCTGTAACACTGCAATGAAAACTACCTGTACCAGTCATCACAGAAAGTCAGCATTCACCTACTGTGTCATACTAGGGTTAGATTTATGTTTTTCATGTCTGTCCAAAATTTGTACTATAAGGGCCTTATGACAGAGAGGACTGTTTTTTTTCACAATAACACTGCCATTTTTATTACAAATTTTAAAAAAAATATGCTCAGTATACAGTGATGGCATTTACTTTAGCTTGATTATTCCAGAGTTTCAGTGGCCACTGGGTCTCCTTAG